TTTCTTATAATAAGAATAACAAATACAAAATGCCAATTGGCAAATCATATTAGAAGGCAGGCACGACAAAAAATAGGCACATTTGTGCTGCATGATCCAGAATCTTCTGGACTGGTATAGCTAGAAGATTTGTTTAACCATAAGAAACACAGTGCAGTGTCATCCCTTGAGGCTTCCATTAGACCAAGAACAGGATTGGACAAATTATAGTGTGCGCACTGAGGGAAGAGAGGTCTGTGAAAAGTTAGTTATCACCACTCTGAGCACATTTCTAAGGGAAGGAACTCATCTAGCGCCATTTCCCCAGTAAGCCCTAAAATTTCAAAACTGACATAGTATTCTGTTGATAATAGTAACAAATGTTGCATAAGGATCTAGTAATATGAGAAATTGTCTTTCCTTCATCAATGAACAAAAAGTGGTAGCCCATTTGCATACAGTTCCTGTTCCACATCCCAGCATGAAACCTAACTGGGAAAGGTCCAAGATATCTGTAACATATAGGAGTAATTGAAAACCACTTGCAAGAACTATCTGGTTAATTTACTTGGAGAACAAAGGTTGGATACTAGGTGGCAGTTTGGTAAATCCACAGGGTCACAGATGGCTTTCCTGAAAATTGACTGTGGCTGTCCAGAGTCAGGCCTTAAAAATTCATGATGCCTTAAGTAACAACTAGGCTGGGGTACTGCCGTCACTCAGAGGATGGTAGAAAAATAGACATCTGCAGACTGTATAACGTTAGTCTAATATTTAGACAAGCTAATCGTATTTGCATTGAAGTAGACTGCTCAATTATAAAAAATGATCTGCCTACACGATAGCCACACTATAGGCTTTTAAAAATTTTAAAAACATCTGCACTGATTGCATTATAGAAAGTCAGGAATAAGAGGTATTTGACAGGTTGCGAATCCTGAAGCCAACTCCACAATCAGATGCATCAGAATAATTGCCAATGCAGGAATCAACAATATCAGTGTTTCCCTGGGAGGAAAGTTATGTGAGAACATGTGGAGCAGTACTAAACTACCTCATTACTTATCACTCAAAAAGGGGGGTGGGGAGAGCCAGGGGGATAGTCCAAGGTCACAAAAAAGTAAACTAAAAACAAATAGAAATTCTCAAACTGATTCATGGACTACTTGCTGGTCATGCACGGAAAACTGGCTTATCACATTAAGCAACCTTGTTCCTTCTCCTACTGTGCTCATTACCAACTTAAGTACATTAAAAAAAGGCTAAAAATATATTTCACTTTTTCTCTAATTGCCACATGAATGTAATACCAGAAAAACAGAAGAAAGTCTGCACAATTTCAATTTGGAGGAGTGATCTGTAAAGGAAATCTCTTTATTAAAATGTGATATACCATACAAAAATGTTTGAGAATCTGTTTCAAGCAAAAAAAAATGAAGAAAAAAAGGAAAACAAGCAACAATGAAAGGGGTTCAGATATTAACCGTCTCTTCTGAAAAGAGGGACCAGCCAGTATCAGTATTTCCTTCTCTTGCAAAACCTGTTCACAGAAGAAACCAAACCAGAATCACAGAATCAGTAAACAGCTCCTCACCAAGGTAGTTAGGAACAGTTTCAACTTCACAAGCAAGGAGACTTGTACCATCTGGTAATTAAACAGCTTAATGCCTCAAGAATTTTAGCTATGGAGACGTGCAAATTTTACTGAGAGCATAGCCCCAGTATTTCTGATCTTAAATATGCTAAGATATACATATGAATTTAATTTGAAATTAACCCCTCTTTAGCCCACCTCTGTGTTTAATTGGACTGTTAAGGGATATTTAAGATTCCAAACAGTAATTCTAAACAGATAGCTATAAAATCCAAAAGTAATCTCTTCTCTCATACTTCATGTGTCCAACCTGCTTCCTGGTTTATGGATCCCATCCTTGAAAGATCAATATATTAAATCAAGTCTATACATGAATTATGCATGCTTATACTTTATCAAGATGTATATGCTTGAGTACAATACATTTATTCGGATAAGCCCTTTAAAAAGCCATGGACACTCATTTGACAATTATGTTGAATACCCCAATTACCATGAACTGAATTGGTGATGCATGTGTGATGGAGTGAGGTCACAAAAGACCCTGTGGGGGTGCTTCCTGGAGTGCTGACAAAGCCACTGACACTGGCCTTCTTGCTCTCTGGGGCTTCTCACTTACCCTGTCCTGCTGGGACAGCTCCCTGGTCTCTCCCAGCCGAGGTATAGAGCTGAGATCACTGTCCCTACCCCAAGGAGCAATACAGACACTGAATCTCTTCAGGTCCAAGGAAAATTCAGTTTTGGGCCCAACTTCTTTGGATACCACTCCCCAAATGGGATCAGAACCCCAAATGAATTATTTAGGTAAGCCCCCATTAACAATGAAAGGAGGATGTACACACTGATTGCTCTCCCAGGTAACAATTATTTATAGTGAGCTTGATAGTAAATAAAAGTTATTTATTAAGTAAAGTAGTAGGATTTAAGTGGTTATAAGTGAGAACAGGCAGAGTAAAGTAGGTTACAAATTTAAAGTAACAGAAAATGCTTTGCTAATTCTAAAACTAAAACCTCAGAACAAACATAACAAATTCACCCTAAAAATAGTTCTTATTCCAGCTAAGCCTCCAAACCAGGGAATCCTCCTTTTCCCTGGGGTCTTTAGTTATCTTCCTGGGTGTGTCATGCCAGCCAAAGAACAAGGAAGTGCTAGCTTCCCATTGTTTTACAGATTCCACCTTTGGGCAGGAATTCTGTTTCTACATTACACTCTGACACAGGAAGTTACTTGGCCAGTCCCTACCAGTTAGCAAGGCCACGTGACTACCTTTTGACCAACCACTCCTATTATTTAAAGGACAAAATAGTTGTTTAGAGTTGACCAAACCCTGAGGGCCATAAAGCATTTCATACTCCATATATCTAACTTTACACACAAGAATGATACATACACCAAACAAAACACACAGACCCAGACTAATAGGTTACATAAGGTAATTTGTCCCAACCATCTCTGAGTTATAAATATTTGTGTCCATAAATCCAGTTTAATAAAGAACGGGGGAGGGGAATCCATCAAAGCATGTCTCTGCCAGTGTTTTAAATCAGACTATAAAATTGTCAAACTGAGTATTTTAGAAACTCTTTAAACCTATTTAAAGATACTTTTTAATAATACTTTTAAGTTTTTAGTGCTGGAAAGGCTTTCAAACCATTTCTAACGCAAACTATAAAATACAAGGAAACATTTAAGTTCATCCCGTATGTGCAAAATAACTGGCAATTCTAACCTATAAACCTTCTATATAAGAGTCTGGTACAATAAAGATAAGAAACGGATCAGACCTTACCTCATCCTGTATCCCACTTGTGGTAGTTAATTTACTCCCATCAGTAACTGTTATAATTATTGCTGGCTCCAGAAAAAATGGGTTTCTTCCCTAAAAAAAAGTGAATTCCCATTAGAAATGCTACATTCAATTTTTTAAGCTTCTTGCTTCAACATAGTGTGGTGCACCAAAGGCTCAATACACCACTCAACGAAATCAATGGAAATATTCCCATTGACTTCAGTGGGTGCTGGATTGGGGCCCTAGATAGATGGTTTGTTCCATGGCAATATTTTAACACTATGAATAGATTCATCAACCTTTTACATCTGTAATCCTGAAACCAATACATATGCCACATATATAGGGTCCTGCATGGATATCCGCATCTGCAGATGTGGATATCTGCAGCTCATTTTTGTCAATTCAGATGCGGATACAAAATTTTGTATCTACGCAAAGTTCTATACATATACCTAAAACAGGCATCTACATTTATTGACTAAGGACTTCATGATAAATGTTAAAGTAACAAAGGACTGTTAAGTCTTTTTGAGAATTTCTTTAATTGCAAATATCCAAATGGTGCAGCTGTTAACAAGCAGAACATTATCTTCATAACCAGAAGAACCTGTAGTTCCCTCCTCCACTACTGATCAAAAATTAAGATGTTCAAACTATAGTATGACCTCAAGAAAACATCTTCATAACCTACGGGTTGAAAATTAATATGCTAGAAACAAGAGGGATACTTAGAAGTGGGTGGTACCCAGTTATTTGGGTCACATTTCAACTCGAGGCATTTTCTCTCTCTCTCATGCATGCATACCCAACACATTGTTTCATTAACTTGACTATAGCAATCCATTCTCTTGTCACATCCTGATTGGATTATTGCAATGCGCTCTTTGTGGGATTGCCTTTGAAAAGTCTTCAGAAGCTTCAACTGATCTAGAATGTGGCTGCTCAAGTTTTAACTAATACTCGTTATATGAAGCACATTATGCCGGTGCTCTGGCAGCTGCACTGGCTTCTGATATGTTTCCAGGACTTGGTTATGACTTATAAAGCCCTAAATGGGTTGGGACTAGGGTATTTGAAGGACTGTCTCCTCCTATACAAACTTGCCCGGGGATTGAGGTCAGCTGGGTAGGCTTGGCTCTGTATTCCTTCAGTTATGGAGACAAGGTTGACATCTATGTGAAGCAGGGCCTTCTCTCCCTTCACCCCTAGCTATGGAATTCTCTCCCCCAGGACACTCGCCTGGTGCCAACATTGGCACTGTTTCAGTGCCAGGCCAAGGCCACCCTTTTTACCCGTTCTTTTATTGGTGTATGTGTCCCTCCTTTTGAGGTGTTTTAGCAGGTTTTGTGTCCGTCCCCCCGCACATTTGGGGTCTCGTATTTTAGTGTCTATACATTATTTATTGTATTTTATTTAAACTTTGTAAGCCGCCTTAAATATTTTAAATAGAGAGGCAGGGTAAAAATATTTTAAATAAACAAATAAATAGAATAAATAACTATTCAATGTTTATGAACACTTGACATGCTTTCTACAACAGTAGCATTTAAGATATAGCATCCAAAATTACAAGACATTTTATGACCCTGTCTGTCCAAGTGGCTTCAAGGTCTTACGGTCCTGTTCATCATGAAGTCTTAACAATGAGACCTATATTGCCACTGACACTCCTGAGCCTGCCAGGACCACAATAGGAGGATCAAGCTAGAGTCATGGATGTACCAATTCAGAGTGGGTTACTATAATTGTCTGTATCTAGGTTTGAAGATGCAATCCTGTGACCGAGCACCAGGAACATACCACTCTGTTCTCTCTTCTGTCCCAATGGCTTCCAGTCTGCTTCCACTGACAGATTTGAAAAATCTTTGGCTATTGCCTACATTTAAAATGTAGCATTTTAAGTGAAGACACAATGTAGTGACTGGATAGGTTGACAAAAAAAATCTGGATTTTTCACACCCTTGATAAATGTAGCTATGTTGAGTTAACTGTTCAGTGCAGCTCAGACATTTAAAAGCCATCAAAACAGTTATACTCTTTTGTAAACTATTTTGTCCAAAGCTCAGATCAAAGTGACAGAAGGGCACTCAGCCCAAGGGTTTTGTTGTGCAGTCAGGTTCCAGATATTAGACATTTCCATAATTTGACCACTCAGAGCATGTTGCAAGACAAGCAAGTTACTCACCCTGTGCAGTAACAACTGTTCTTTGAGGTGTGTGTTCCCATGGGTGCCCCACATATGGTGACAAGTTATCCTCGGAGCCGCAGAATCAGAGCTTTTTCCATAGCAGTTAGCAGTTGAGCTGTGCGTGCCCAGCTAGCGTCTCGCGCTGCCGGTGGCTAGATGTTTCGGGCCCAGCCCAACTCCCTCCCCTCAGTTCCTCACCTACCACAGAGCCATCAAACTCAGAGTAGAGGGGTTTCCAGGACTTGGTTATGACTTATAAAGCCCTAAATGGGTTGGGACTAGCTGGAGGCAGGTATAGGCACCCACGGGGAGACACCTCGCAAAACAGTCAGTGCACAGGGTGAGTAGCTTCCTTTTCTTCTTCAGGTGAAGCCCCATGAGTGCTCCATGTAAAGGGACTACATAGCAGTACTCACTATAGCCAGTGGGACTTAGAGTCACTGCTTAATAATGGCAAATAGAACTGCTGTAGCCACTGCTGTGTTTGCTACCAGCTGAGGCATGATGGCGTAATGCTTAGAGAAAGTGTGGTCGGATGACTAGATAGCTGCCCAGTAAATGTCTTTGAGAGGCACACCACTGAGGATGTTGGGTGTGCCTTGGATGTTGCTGTAGCACAGGTGGACTGTACTCTTGATGGCGTCATCAGTGGTTTGTTGCACACTGGAGTAAGCAAGCAGATATCAGTTTGGAAATGTGCTGTGTGGAAATTGGGTTGCCCCTAGAGTAGTTTGGAACAGAGACGAACAGACGTGGGGACTTGCGTGACGCCTGAGTTCTGTCAATATAAAAAGCCAAAGCCCTTCTGACATCCAGAGTATGGAGCATAGCATGTCTGGAAGATACATGTGGCCTTGGAAAAAATATAGGTAGTACTACAGGCGCATTGATGTGAAAACTGATACTGACTTTGGGCCAAAAAGCAGGATGTGGACTCAGAGTCACTTTGTCTTTAGCAATACGGTGTATGGTGGGCCCAGCATTAGGGATCCTATCTCACTGACACTCCTTCGGGAGGTGATAGCCACTAGAAAAAATACCTTCATCGTGAGGAGGAGGAGGAGGAGGGCCATAGGTTAGAAAGGAGGTGTTAGAAGGGACTCGAGAACCAGGTTTAGGTCCCATGATGGCAGTGGGGCCCTAAAAGGAGGGTAGAGGTTTTGGACTACTTTGAGAAATCTTCTAGTCACTGGATGCGCAAACAGCGATGACCCAACAGTGCAGTCATGAAAGGACATAATGGCTGAGAGGTGTACTTTAATGGAAGTAGATAGGTGTCACTCTTCAAGCCGTGTAAGTAGTCCAGGACCATCTGGAGTGAGGCTTTGCTGGGATCAACAGGCATCTGAAGACACCAGGATAAGAAGCACTTCCATTTTTGCAGGTAAGTTGTTCTAGTAGATTGTCTCCTTCTATGAGGGAGGACAATTTTCACATGATCAGAGCAGCCTGATTTGATGCCACAAAGCCAGACAGAAGCCATGCATGGAAATGAAGGGTCTGAGGATGGAAGTGAAGTAATTTGCCTGCATTCTGGAAGAGGAGATCACGCCGGTGGGGGAAAGGATATGGTGTCTCGACAGACACGTGTTGAAGGTATGGGAAACCAGATCTGTCTGGACCAAGATGAGGCTACTAGAATGATTCGAGCTGCGAGTGGATCTTGCGCAGGATTCTGGGCACCAATGGTACTGGAGGGAAGGAATAGTGGATCGGTTCATCCCATGGGATTAGGAAGGCACCTCCCCTGGGTCCCCTGCCCAATCCCGCTCGGGCATAGTCGTAGGCTTGCGCAACGGATGTTGCGATGGTATAAAAACCGATGCCAGCCAACACTGGAAGGCACAGAAGTGTAGGCGTGCATACTGAACCACATAAGTAGTGGCCGCCATTTGGCCCATCAGCTGGAGGCAAGTATGGACAGTTGTAGATGGGTTTGCCAGTAGAGTGGCAACTAGGCCGCGTAGCATATCGAATCTTTGCTGCAGTAGATACACTCTAGCTGATATGGAGTCAAGCCAGGCCCCGATGAACTATAAGTCCTGCATAGGATTGAAGGTTGACTTCTGCTCGTTTATGAGGAACCCTAAGGAGTTGAAGAATCGTTTGGTCTTTAATACTATTTCTGCTGATTCCGTTCTCGTGCGACCCTTTATTAGGCAGTCCAGGTATGGGAATATCACGACCCCTTGATGTTGAAGACAGGCAGCAATGACTGCTAGGACCTTCAAAAAAAAACCGTGTAGTGGAGGATAGGCCGAAGGGGAGGACCTTGTACTGGAAATGATCATCTCCCACAGTGAATCTTAGGGAGCGTCTGTGGGCAGGATGTATCATGATATGGAAATATGCATCTTGTATGTCTAGTGCTGCAAACCAATCCCTTTTCTCCAGTGCCGGAATGATTGAAGATAATATGACCATCTTGAAGCACTGTTTTTGCAGGAACCTGTTTAGTTTGTTGAAGTCTAGAATTGGTCTCCAGCCCCCTCTGCATTACTGGGTTAGGAAGTAAGTTGAATAAAACCCTCTCCCTGTGTATAGCTCGGGCACCTCCTTCATAGCTTCCAGCTGGATGAGCCAATCTCTCTCTTGCTTGAGAGGTATCTCTTGAGAGGGGCTGGAAAAGGATGAGGTTTGGGGGAAGAAAAGTGAACGGGATTGTGTATCCTATACAGATGATTTCCATAACCCAATGGTCAGATGCTATTGCATCTCAACTATGGAAAAAGGGACGTAGCCTGTGGTGGAATAGAAGTCTATGATTTTGTTGTACTGGATAATCAGGGAGGTCGGGCAGACGCTCAACCAACATTTCAAATTTGCTGTTTAGAAGGCTAGATACCAGAGGTATGTAGGTGTAGTGGGCACTTCCTATGGCTGCACTGTCTGGAACGGT